CCTGAAAGGGAAGCCAGAGGGAGGGAACGGCCTCTGTTGACAGTACATTATGGGGGCTGGTCACATCTGGTGTGGGTGGGAAGGAGGAGCTTCTGTGTCTGGTGGGGCTACTTCCAATGTCCTAAATGTGTCTCCAGGATTTCCCTCTCAACAGATTATCTTGATGATGTCACTGCCAAGTCGTGAAAAATGGATCAAGGGCACAGGCTGGCTTCAGGGAGGTCAAAGCAAGCAGTCATAATCTTGTCGCTGGAAGATGGTTGCTTAAGGCAGGCAGTGCTTCGCTCTTTCTGATTTTGTCTATTTTCTTTGTCTTGCCCTTCCTCTTTTGTGAGCTGAGGAGCCCATTTGTAGTTGGCAGCCGGATTCCTCTCCTGGAGCCCTGGTTCTCATCTGCCCCCTGGTTGTTGCATGCTCCTGTGGCAGGTTCTTGGAGAGCTGACCTCAGGGCATGCTGTGCTTGGCATGCTCGGGGAAGCAGGTACCCTCCACACATGACCATGCTGCCCCTGCTTAGAGCCACCCCTGGCCCCGACATCTGCAGGAGCCAACCCAGCTGCTTCTATGACAACAAGGGTCTGCCTGACCCATCCGGCATTTTCTCCTGCTGTTCCTAGTCACACATTTGTAGTCAAGCCACATAAAACTGTGGATTGCTGGACACCCCTTCTGGTGTTTCTATGTCTCTTTTCTTGCAGTGTCCTCTTTCTGGAATCACCTGTCTCCAACTACCTGCCATGTAAGCAACTTCTCATCACCTTCAAGATCCAGTTCAAATGTCACCTCCGCTGTGTAGCCTTCTTAATTTCCCCACAGTATTAGTGACCCCCTCCCCTGTGCTCCTGCAGCCCCACCCTCTCTATTAGAAACTGTTTTGCCAGTCTTTTTATATTTATTCAGGGACGTGGTATAACAAAGGAAAAAGAACATGAGCTTCGCCTTCAGGTCTGAGATTGAAACCTGCTCTGCCACTTATTAGCTGCATGTCTTTGCAAAAGTTATCGACTGTTGGGAGCCTCTTCTGTCTTTGCTTGTAAATGGGCAGGATATACTGAAATGTTTTGTTGAGGATATAATGAACCAACCTGTGTTGTGCTTAGCACCGTTAGTTCTCAATAACCGGTAACGATGGTGGTTGTGGTTATTGTGATCATGATGGAATCATGAAATCTTAGAGCTGAAAGGGACCTGAGGGGTCATTCTAAGGCCTGCAAAGCCTGATTCCTACTCTCTTGTCAATCATCCATCTTCTCCTTGAACTCTGCTTGGGATAGGGAGCTCACTTTCTTTCTAATCTTTTATGACACTTAATTCTGGTAGTGCAGAGGTTTGCTAGTAATTAGGCTAAGTTACTATGTATATATTTGGGAGACTATTTTAAATTGTCAGTTATGCTGGCATGTATGTATATATGTATGTATGTATATATGTATGTGTGTATAAATATTTATGTATGGATGCATGTCTGTACGTATTTAGTGATGTTTGACCATATGAGATTTCCTAAAGAATCTTACTCAAAAAGCTGGGTTAGGAAGTCATGATGGAAATTAATCTCCAAACCAAAGTTGTGAGTAGCTTTGCGTTTTCTTAGACGTTTTATTTCTGGGTCTGTTTGCATCTGTGTTTTGCTTGCCTCTGAACAAAATGCCAGTAGAAATTGTGGCATATAGTGTTGCTGCAACCAGGAAACATACCCCGTCTGTGACAGATAAAGAGAGAATGAAACCTGAGTGACACAATAACATGGTGCATCTAAAAATAGTAATATTTTGTTGACAGAAAACAAGCTTACTTTCTAATGTGATTTAGGAGCAAAGAATCTTAAGTTATTCTGTGGTACTTTGGCCTCAGTTTTCTCATCTGTAAAGTGGGAGTGTTGGGCACTCAGAGATGGGGAAAGGAGGAGGCAGAGGTGGACTGTGTCCCTGAGAACTAACTACCCTCTTCCTCATTCAACCAGAGCAGCTCTATCTTTATTTTTTGAGCTGAGGTATCCACTGAAGTCCCTTGTAAGATTATATTTGAAATAAAATATTCTGTTGCTTCAAAAATGTATATACCTCTAAACTAGATTGCTTTCAGGCCCCTTCCTGCTCTGAAAACTATTATGGCTCTAAAATGAAGCAAAGTTATATTTTTACCAACTTTCTAGTACATGTTTAGTTTTTAATAAATTTTCTAAAATGAAATAAAATCTCATTTCAGAAACTTTTAAAAAGATTTTTTTGTCTTTTCTCTCTGATTTGCTTAATTGCAGTGAAAGGTGGTTCCTTTTCTTTTTCTTCTGAAATTTGCTTTTCTCTAACTTAATCAAAGTCCCACTAACACTAGGAAAAAGTCACAGGCATGGTGTGGGAGGAAGGTGAATGTCACCCTTTATCATTCTCTTTATCCTTGCATCCCAGGCCAGTCCTTGGAGATACCATGACATAGTTAAAATATCAATTCAGCAATATCATCTCTCTTTTCAGCAATTCCTTTCCCCAAGTCTCTCCATCTGATCTCAAAGAATTATAAAGGCAGAACAAACATAAGATATATATATTTTTTACCTAAATTCTTCACTTTACAGATGTGGAAAGTGGGATCCTGTGAAGGGGACAGATTGTATAGGATAAGGTAATGAGCCATCACTCCACCTCTGGTCTTCTCTAGTTCACTTCTCTTGTAGGAGGTCTAGGAAACCTGCTGGTGCTTCAGTTTTCTTATTATAAGATGGGGATGATAATAATAGTATCTGCCTCATGGAGTTGTTTTGATTATTACATGAGGGTGGAACTCCAATACGTGCTTGCTGTTATTACCACTAGGATGCTTCTGTATTCTGATAGCGGATTGCCCAAGGTGCACACACTGATGGAAATACCCCATTTGGGAACCATGCTCCTGTCTTCTGTCCCCAAAACAAGTCGCTAAAATAATTTCTTCTTTTGGCATCCTCTTACCCCAGGTTACTGTTCCCTGCTGGGTGACACTGGAGGAGTAATTGGGTTTTTTTTCAAATAGATGAATTCCATGTTAAAATATTGGCTGCTTAATGTTACCTTTGCCTGGTCATAATGCCTTAACTCAGTGAAGATGTACGTGCCTCCAGAAAATCTTTAAGGACTGACTTTAATAGGGTGACTTCAGATTCTGTGGCAGGTGAGTAGGCAAGTCATTTTTCATCAAACGGGTCTGTCATCTCACCTTGTGGCACCACGTACCTTCTGTGCTAGAATGTGTGGGCCAGCCATGCCACCCTCATCACTCGCACCTCTAGTTCCTGGAAAATGGATGCCAATTACCAGATGGGTGAGCATTTAGGATTTACACACCATCGTTTTGTTCCTTGGTCAAGGTCACATGAATGGAAATTTACTTGAGCAGTGAAGAAAAACTAGTCCTCACCTTTAAGTTTATCTTACTTTTGAGAAGCAGGCAGTTATCTGATGGATGGAAAAGAGTCCTGGGAGTGTGAGGAAAGAAATATTACCTGCCAGTGAGGAAAGATACTGAGTGGGCATGCTGCATCCGGAGTCTCAGGAACCCTGAGTCCCAGGTCGACTGAAATGTCCCCTAGGAAATGGTGGTGGCTTCACCTAGAAGGGAGTCTGATGACCAGTTCTGTCATGTCAGGGCTGCAGTCAGGTCGAGCACAACCTTTTCCTTTTCTTTCCTTTCCCTTCCTTTTTCCCTTCCCCATCTTCTTCTTTTTTCTTCATCTCTCTCTCTTAACTCCCCTCTCCTCCCCCTCCCAGCAATATTCCTGGTCCCACTCTTCCAGAGCATTCTACTTTATTGACAATATGAATGACCTAGGGGAGCACTGACAGTTAGTTGCAGCTTTGTGGAGCTGAAACTTTGCCAGCCTCAACAGGAGCCAATTGGGAGCCCTGCAGGAGTAGTGTGGACCCTATGTGCCCACTGTCGCTTTATTTTCTCCTTTTTATTTTGCAGCATGAGCGAGAGAGGGAGAGATAGAGTTAGATGATAGATAGATAGATAGATAGATAGATAGATAGATAGATAGATAGAGGTAGAGGTAGAGAGATAGAGAGATGAGAGAGAGAGAGAGAGAAAGTTTCATTAGCAGGAAACCATCAGGCCTTTCTAAGTGTGTTGTGTGGGCGGTTACTTTCGTCCCTGTCACTTGCGTTAGGATTTCAGAAAGGGCCGGGCTCTGGCGGGCATGTGAGGGGCGCGGGCAAGGACAGCTCCGGGCCGGACCTCCGCGGAGCCCCCGGGGGGCCACGACCCGGGCCGGCGAGGGTCCCGCGGGCGGCCGACCGTTG